CCGTACCCACTGTATGTATATATATATATATATATATATATATATATATATATATATATATATATATATATATATATATATATGTGTGTGTGTGTATATATATATATATATAACATTTCTGTCCCCCTCACTTCTGAAATGATGGCTACGCCCCTGTATATAGTATACACAGTGTAGTTTTACCGAGCAAACAGCAGAAACGGCTGAAAGACCGTGGCAGCTGGCACTAACTCTAGTAGCTGGGGATGCCACCGGAAGTGGTGCTGCGACCTTGCGCTGCCAGGATTTGCGCTTGCTCGCTCTCTTTTTTTTAGTGTCTCGCGTGAGATCTGAGTCAGGGTTAAAACCTTTTTTTACTTAAATTAAAATATAAAAAATATTGCTACATTAAGCTACACTTGCCATTTTCATTTCGTTTAACTTGATGTACTTAAAAATGAAATAAAAATGAATAAAAGCTATATAGACACGTTTGTTATAAAAACTAAATAATTATTCAAACTTTCATTAAAATGAAAACAGAGAATACAAAATAAAAATATAATAGTATCATACTGAAATAACTGTTCTGTAGACACTTTTAAAATAACGACACTATTTTCATTTGCTTTTATAAATGCTCTGATATCAGCAGGTTTTCAAAGACACACACCACCCAGTTTTACACAAGGTCTACACACTGTTCCTTCAGAAGCTTTCTTCAAAGAAAAAGATGAAAAGAAGCTGTCAGCACAATGTTGTGTTAGTAATGCTGAGCTGGCAATGATCACACATTTATTTTATTCCTGTTATTATTCTAAAGACATCTGGTGAGCGAGAGAGTCTTTCAGTTTGTTTAAACGACTGTGACTCTGTTTATTTTTGCACTACGTGTCGCAGATTGAATATATAATATTCATAATATTTCCATGTCTGCTTCAAATGAACGTTTATTCAGTACAGTTTCGTTTAAAATCTTAAGCATGTGCCTAATCTGTGTAAGTTACGAGTCAAAACTGTGCTGCTGTTTCATTTGACACCGAAACTGAGGTGATGCTAACCAAACATGAATAATGCATTTCTGTCATTTTACTTGAATAAATGTAATCCTTTATGATATAATTATAATGCATTACCCACTCTCATTTCATTTTAAACATTTGAATTCAGAATGGTAAACACCTACTGAAGAATTGGCATCTGTATGTCCTTTGGATTAAGTAGAACAATAAACATTTCTTTTAATGTTTGTTTATTTATTTATTCATTCATTTTGTATGACTTGTATTTTCTGCATTTGGTTACCTAACTAGTAGGCCTACATTTAAAAATGATAGGCAAACAAACAATAAGAGTCTGATCTGTCGGAGGTCAGCATGAGGTCAGTGGAGTGTAATAATGAAGGCATCAGGTTGCTGTTGGACACGGGTCAGCGCTCACGTATACACATTCCTGTGGGATTTGATGGCTGGGGAGTCTTTAAACTACTTAACAGTGCCAAATCATATTTAAAAGCTCATCAACCATCTCTCTGTGTGCTTTAAGATACAGAAATAAAACTCAATCATGCACAAAGTCTCAGATTACATGTGCACTATACACCACAAAACAAAAACACATCATGATATAATCTACAACAACAAAGCTGGTTTGCTGGTCAGGCTGGTTTGTTAGCTGGTGTCAGAGGGGTTTTCACGGAGACCAGCTAGAACAGCCAAAGACCAGCATGGGTCATCATAGAGGTCATCTTAAACCAGCTAGAACCAAATGACTACCACACCAGTTTTAGGCTGTCATTTATTTATTTATTCAATTTCCCCGACGTAAACCCTATAATAACTCACTAATTTCAGGGGTAAAATACTTAATAAATAAACATGTGTTTATTTAGCCAAGCAGTTTCTACGTTTCTACTTAACATTTTTCTTTTTCTTTTTAGTTATTTATTTACTCTGCCCTATTTATCTTCTATATTGTCTGTTTATGTACTGTACGTGGTTTATTTGAAAATGTCACCAAATTGTAGTGATGTAAATAAAACTTTCTTGTTGTCATTGTTTGTGTGTGTGTGTGTGTGTGTGTGTGTGTGTGTGTGTGTGTGTCGCGTTGAGCGCGCGCAGCCATGATCTCGGCACTGTGTTGAAAACATGGACTCCAGTTCTCGTCATTTAACACTGTTTTACATCGTTTTTCTGACTCTTACGTGCCATGTGGCGCTAGGAGAGGACACCGCCGGTGAGTAGTTTGTTTTAGCGAGTGTTGGATCTGTGTAGTGTTTAACGCAAAGCTCGTGACTGTTTGGTTTGTTTTATGGCGATGCAAACAACAGTGAAGTTCATCTGAGATCTCCACTCCTCTCGCCAAGAAAAAAAACACAGATTGTTTATTGCATTATTTTTGAATTATATTTCAAGGTTCAGAAACTAAATGTCAGTATCTCTGCATCACAGTCACGAGCTTTGACTACTAACTTAGTAAGACTGGAACAAATCTAGTCATTGAAAGAGGAAGCTCCACATGTTGTTTTGTTACAATTATCAATACTGTAAAACCGTAGAGCATTTCTTAAAGAGCTTTTTGAAGTTTACTGTCACGTTTAACTGTTTTTGGTGACAGTGACAGAACTTTCTGGAAATATCAGGGAATTGGTTTTCGAGAAATTATGATTTTCATGCACGCAAACGTAATTGAAATGAATTAAGTCTTTATTTTTGAAGTCATAGACTGCAGTCTTTAAATCTTTTTATAGTTCTATATAAAAAATGAAAACTGTCTTTACTTACATACACATCGCTATGCTGCCATACGACGTTTGCGCTATATTACAAGTCTTCTGAAGTCATACGATAACTTTAGACGTATGTGGGGGCGTGTTAGAACGAGCCGTTTTAGTTAGGTGTGGCTGACTCTTAACTTTTATAAAGAATATCTCTTTGGATTTGAGACTTTAGTCTTTGCAACTTTGCAGATCTTCTTTATGCACCAAGAGCTTGTAACACTCCAAAGAGAAAGGAAAATTTGAAATCGCATCATATGACCCCTTTAATACTTTCTTTACTTTCGTGAGGTTTTTTTAGTTTTTTTTTTTGAGTTTGACGAATGACACCATGAAGTGTTGTTAAAGTTCAAAATGTCTTATGTGGTCCATGAAAGAAAAAGAAAAAAATCTGTCTTTGCTAAACTCAAATGCTGCATTACACACTATCACAGCCAGTCTATTAGTGTACACATTTGATGTTCAGTGATTCTGAACCACTGAAATGTCACTGTGGGCAGGGCTTCTCAGCAAGACATGCAAGGAATTGAACCAAAATGTAATCAAAATGTTCTTTCATTTGACAGCCAGTTTAAACAAAACCTCAAATTAGCATGGAAGAGAGAGCTTTTACCACTTGTTGCCTTAGGACTCTTGTTGAGATGTTAACGTTAAAATCCTATCTGTACAGACTGTCCTGCAGATGGACGCACGTGGTTGCCATTCAGCCTCAACTGCTATCACTTCGTCCATGGAGAGGAGGATGTTGCCAAAAGCTACTCCATTCAAGATGCAAAAGACATGTGCAGAGGATATGGTGGTTACTTTTTTACAATTTGCAAACTATAACACACTGAAATATCTAAACTTGTGCATTATTTTTATGCACTATATGGTACAGTTTAACCTTCCCAATTACGTTTTTAGATCTCTTGACAGTAAAAAGTGCGGAGGAGAATGACTTCATCGTTAAGTACAGTCCTTCTGTATGGAAAGGTAAAATGAGCGTCTGGGTTGGAATGTACTACGACAGCGACGGTAAGTTTGATTTCAATCCAAAAACATGCCTGCGTCTCAAAACCTAGTGATGTCCGTCTTTAAACTTCAGAATTGGATATATTTGCTTTTCTAATGCAGTATCTTATTGTGAGCATTTCATCAATACAGAAATAAAAGTTAGTTTTCTTAGGCCCAATCCCAATCCTACCCCTTAGCCCTTCCCCTTTCCGTTCGTTCACGTGAAGGGGTAGGGGTGTCTCAATTCTATTTTGGTTGGAGGGGTAGGGGAAGGGCCAGACAGCCCTTCAAACGAAGATTTTTCGGGACCACACTTCAAAAGAAGGGGTATGAATTATCTCAGCATAAACCGGCTTCAGGTGCAACATGGCTGCCCGAGCGAACAAAAAGACACATACATGTAAGCATTTTTAGCATTAATAAAGATTTTAACGAAAAGTAATCATTTGTTTTATGTTACATTCAATCGTGAGTTCATATTTACGGCCATGTTACTCAAAGAAATGTTTGCAAAAAATCGCTAAATTCGCTAAATAATGTCATATCATTATAGACTGCACGATAGTGCCACAACATATTTTCATGTCTGATCAGGGCGATAACCACCGTAGACATTGGGGGGGATAGTCCCCCCAATAATTAGAAATCCCTAAACCCTTTTCTCAAATATTGCCAATTCGAGAGAGAGAGAGAGAGAGAGCGAGAGAGAGATGAAAGTTGCGTGTATGCATGTCTGTGCGTTTCTCTTATTAGAGTGAGTTTACTTCCAAAATCAGCGATTTTATCCTCTCGTTGCTGGAAAAGACTGCACGATAGTGCCACAACATATTTTCATGTCTGATCAGGGCGATAACCACCGTAGACATTGGGGGGGATAGTCCCCCCAATAATTAGAAATCTCTAAACCCTTTTCTCAAATATTGCCAATTCGAGAGAGAGAGAGAGCGAGAGAGAGATGAAAGTTGCGTGTATGCATGGCTGTGCATTTCTCTTATTAGAGTGAGTTTACTTCCAAAATCAGCGATTTTATCCTCTCGTTGCTGGAATTTATAATGTTGCGATTCAGTATTTAAACTGTTATTAATAAAAGTCGTGGATCTTCTTTATGCACCAAGAGCTTGTAACACTCCAAAGAGAAAGGAAAAATTGAAATCGCATCATATGACCCCTTTAATACTTTCTTTACTTTCTTTTTAGTTTTTTTTAGGTTTTTTTTTTTAGTTTGACGAATGACACCATGAAGTGTTGTTTAAGTTCAAAATGTCTTATGTGGTCCATGAAAGAAAAAGAAAAAAATCTGTCTTTGCTAAACTCAAATGCTGCATTACACACTATCACAGCCAGTCTATTAGTGTACACATTTGATGTTCAGTGATTCTGAACCACTGAAATGTCACTGTTGGCAGGGCGTCTCAGCAAGACATGCAAGGAATTGAACCAAAATGTAATCAAAATGTTCTTTCATTTGACAGCCAGTTTAAACAAAACCTCAAATTAGCATGGAAGAGAGAGCTTTTACCACTTGTTGCCTTAGGACTCTTGTTGAGATGTTAACGTTAAAATCCTATCTGTACAGACTGTCCTGCAGATGGACGCACGTGGTTGCCATTCAGCCTCAACTGCTATCACTTCGTCCATGGAGAGGAGGATGTTGCCAAAAGCTACTCCATTCAAGATGCAAAAGACATGTGCAGAGGATATGGTGGTTACTTTTTTACAATTTGCAAACTATAACACACTGAAATATCTAAACTTGTGCATTATTTTTATGCACTATATGGTACAGTTTAACCTTCCCAATTACGTTTTTAGATCTCTTGACAGTAAAAAGTGCGGAGGAGAATGACTTCATCGTTAAGTACAGTCCTTCTGTATGGAAAGGTAAAATGAGCGTCTGGGTTGGAATGTACTACGACAGCGACGGTAAGTTTGATTTCAATCCAAAAACATGCCTGCGTCTCAAAACCTAGTGATGTCCGTCTTTAAACTTCAGAATTGGATATATTTGCTTTTCTAATGCAGTATCTTATTGTGAGCATTTCATCAATACAGAAATAAAAGTTAGTTTTCTTAGGCCCAATCCCAATCCTACCCCTTAGCCCTTCCCCTTTCCGTTCGTTCACGTGAAGGGGTAGGGGTGTCTCAATTCTATTTTGGTTGGAGGGGTAGGGGAAGGGCCAGACAGCCCTTCAAACGAAGATTTTTCGGGACCACACTTCAAAAGAAGGGGTATGAATTATCTCAGCATAAACCGGCTTCAGGTGCAACATGGCTGCCCGAGCGAACAAAAAGACACATACATGTAAGCATTTTTAGCATTAATAAAGATTTTAACGAAAAGTAAT